TAGAAGGAAGCCAGATCAATGCTTGGTCCAAGAATGGGATGTCACAAGGTAGAACATATTGTCACCACAGAAATCAGGAGCCATAGAAGTCCCTTGGGGTCACAAACGTAGCCAGGTGCTCCCCAAAGAGGCTGTAGGTGGGCAAATGTCCAGTATTTACAACCTCCTTCTCATTACCATTGTGGTCTCGTGCCTTTATCAATCAAGTATGATGCCAGTGAAATCAGATACAGCCGTTCGAGACATTTGACACATTTTTTTATTTACTTAACAGAACTATATTTTTTAGAGTTCACCATGATAGTAAAAATCACTTTTTCACCCTGAGAGGTGGGCAGGGCACTGGCCCCTCTCTGTGCAAAGAGTATCCTTCCTGGAGTTGGACACCTGCTCCCGGATGGAGGACCTACAGCTGCAGGACCTCCTCTCATGGACAAGCTCACCCTCAGGAGCAGAACATGAACTGAAACCTCAACCGTCTTTATTCCTGCTTGCCGAGGGGCTACGTTATTGACCATCTGTGGAGGGGCAGTTATTGACCATCTGACTCAGCTATTGTCAGCAAACAAATGGCAATCCAAGATGAGTGTCCTTGCTGGAAGTAGCCCACCCTTCTGGAAGCAGTATTACCAGCCTGAACACTACCAAGCCTCTCCATGCCAGAAGCACTTTGCAGGAAAAGCAGAAGCATACAGAATGTGCTTCCCCGGACCCTGGGAAGGTCCCGGGAGCAGCTCTCAGCTCCTGGGGCCCCTGCCTTGTCAGGAAACACTAGAGCAGTCTGGGACACTCCTGCGGGTTACAATGAGCCTAACAACAGGCACACCTGTCACCCATTCAAACCTTGTTGAAGCCCTTGCAACAGGAAGCTTAATACAACTATGTTATTCAGAGTTCAAGACGATAGTGAAGATCACTTGTTCAGGTGGCACCTGCAGCTCAGTAGGTAGGGTGCTGGCCCCGTATATCGAGGGTGGCGGTTTAAACCCAGCCCTGGCCAAACTGCAACAAAAAAAAATAGCCGGGCGTTGTAGCAGGCACCATACTCCCAGCTGCTTGGGAGGCTGAGGCAAGAGAATCACTTGAGCCCAGGAGTTGGAGATTGCTGTGAGCTGTCATGCCACAGCACCCCACCAAGGGTGATAAAGTAAGATTCTGCCTCTTAAAAAAAGTTCACTTGTTCACTCTGGCAGGCGGGGAAGACACCAGCTCATCTCTATGCACAAAATAGCAGCACCAACAGAGGATGAAGTAAAATACTATGGCATTCTTCATGGATTTGCTGAGACCTGGATTTTTTTTTTTCTTATGTTAAGGATTACTATCACTTCTTGGCCTTTTGGCTAAGATCAAGTGTAGTATGTTAAGGACGGCTATTTTTAGGTCTGTATCTTTCCAGGACAGACCGCAGTATCCATAGGTGAAAAGGTATGATGTCTGGAATTCGCGTTTAAATATTCAGTGAGGGAGGGGCTCTTAGGCTGTGGCCAGGTCAGAGTTGTCTGTGAATTGCTCCTTTGATGGGCTGTGTGATCAGAACAGTGGGGTCACTTTTATGCCTCCCTCACCTTATTTTGTTTTCAGTGTTCTCCACAGTATAAACTATAACACACACAAAGGAGGCTGCTCTTAGGACAGCTGCTGGGGATAGGGGGCCCTGGCATCATACCCAGCAGGTCTACAGATTTGACCCTCTGGAGTATCAATTATCACCTATAGGAAATGAGCCCAGGTGGGTGCTGTGGACACAATACCCCTTAAGCCTTCTGCTAATCCAGGGCCTGGGCTTGGTGCAGGGGTGGCTATGAAGGAGCAGTAAAAGGTCTCCTTTTTCAGCCCTGTCGTGGCTCCAGAACTCTCCGATTTACAAGATCCCATGAATGAGAAAAAGCACTGCCCCCAGTACAGAACGGGCGCCCACCGATTACGCTGGGCGGCAGGAAGAGACTCAGTCCTTGCTGATTCTCTTTGGCCTAGTCAGGACACCCAGATGCCTTCCCCGATGTGCCGGAGGAAGGTGAAGGGTGGCCTGAGAGGTCCCAGGACACTGAGGACCTAAAGACATGTGGGAGTCTCCCCACCAAGGAGGCTGACCTCGCCTGCTGTGGGGGGGGGGCACGTGTGACTCTCACCTGAGGCAGCAGGTAATGAGGGGTGTGGCAGGCTGAGCCACACCACAGTAAGCAAGGGAAGCAGTAGGCTCTGGTGGGCATGAGGGTCTAGGGTGCTGATAAAAGCCTGAGGCTGACTTAGCCCTCAACCCGCCACTCTGCCCTGACGATGTGTCACTCAGCCCACTATTGAGCATTCCACTCTGACTCAGCTCCAAGACAAGCACTGGGTACCCATCTAACACTGGGGTTGGTGGCTTTTCTGATCTCTCGGAATTCCCCATGTCCTCCCCAAAGCAGGCTGAATGTCCCGGGCTCCATCCGCAAACTAATCACAAACAGAGCTTTTTGCTGACCTGACTGTAGTGGTCCAGATTTTCTAGGCCGAGGCTCATGGTAAATGTGAGCCTGCCCACAGCCCTGTACCCTTCTCATCCCTCACCAATCCCACTGGGTACCTCAACCTCACATCAGGGAATACTTGAATCTTCAGAGTATTATGGGCCATCTAAATGTAGAGAACACATTGACATGAAAAAGCTGACTTCATCATATTAAATGGCTTCACTGTGCAGGACTTGTCAGTGTACTTTACATCCATGAGATGGTAACACTGTTCAGGCCTGAGAGATGTGCCTGTGTGGGTTCTTTTCCAAGCCTTGTTACAATTTCCTGGTGACAGCAGAACTGTGGACCCTTCAGATGTTGATCACTCCCCTGACTGGCTCTCCATGTGAAGTGGGGAATGTCCACTTCTCTTCCTGTTGAGACCGTGGCGTTCACTCAGGGTGTCTTTCCCTATTTTCTTTGCCTTTAAAAGGCCACAGCTGGGTTCCTGCAACCCCCTTTATTTCTCCTGATTTATCTCTCAGGGATGCCCCCATCCTCTCACAGGGCCCCTCTCCTTCCCCGGTGGCTGGGGCAGGGGCAGTGTCCCAGGATCCACTCTCTGGGAACAGCTTCCTGGTCTGGATCAAGGTTCCCTCCAGGGCAGGGAGCTCACCTAGGACCCTGCTGGTTTGGAAAGGGCGGTAGCACCGCACGGACCTAGGATTTCATCAGGAACTGAGAGACACAGAGGGCACCGTTGAGATGAGGGTGGATCCATGACTAGGTCTTTATTGAGGAAAAACAGAATCGGTGTGAGACCTGCCTGATCAGACCCGGTGCCAGGCTGGAGCCTGGCAGGGGCAGAGGCAAGGAGACAGAGGGCTGCCTGGGGGAGGTGGGCCCTGCTGGGGTGAAGCTCCAGGAAGACTCCAGGGTTCTCTTTTCCTTGGGTTCTAGGATCCTCCTAAGCACCCACTGAGACCATGTGAGCGACATCAAATTAAATATGATATAAGAAATAATGAGATGGAATAATGAGATGGAGTAGGTTTTGATTGGCAGTGAGTATATTTATTGAGGGTTTACAGGGTGCAGGGGGAAGGGCTAGGATGACCTGGGTGGGAAGGGAGACCCCTCCCCTGGGATCCTGCAGCTCCAGGCCCCCGTGGCTGGGGTGGGGGCCGGGGCCCTAAGCACATTCT